CAATGGCATGAAGTCCATGTAGCCGGTGTACCACTGTCCCCTGCTGGGGAAGCTGAGGCTCGGGGGTGTCGCTGACCAGGGCTGGGGCCGGGAGAGTCTCTCCGCTCAGTCCCAAGAAGAACTAGACTGGAGATAACCCTTCAAAAGCTTGATTTTTCTGCCATTAAATGTTTGTTATTTATTTTGGTCATTTTTTTTTTAATGAGAAGCACTTTATTCTCTCCATTCACTGATCAGAAAATCGAAGCCCCCCTCCCACTGGCCACTCCAAGGGAAGACAGTCCCCTCCTTGGAGGCCAGCGCTCCTCAAGCTGCCTGCCTGTGGACAGACGCGCTGCTCTTGTGCCCAGGACTGCGTTTCAGAATGACGCATACCCCAGTTAGGATTTTGTTAGCGTCCGTGTGCGGTTTCTGAAGAGTCTGTCCTTTCTGTCTGTAAGGATGCCGCTTCCGTTCCATGTGCCAGGGGAGAGCGGCTCACGGTCCCCTGGAAACCAGCCCAGCCCTCCCTGTTCGCCCTCTGGTACCTGATGCTGGAAGCTCAGGGAGGCGCTCAGACCTCCCACCGGAAACCAGAACTGACCAGCAGGAGTGGCCCCAGCTCCAGGACACCGGGCATGCCTGGCTGAATCCACCACAGGGCACAGCTGCCGAGGTCTGAGACACATGACTTTTTTAAGACTGCCTGCCAGGATTGGAGTCAGCTCCGGCAGGGAAGTTCCTTCACTGTCAGGTTTTTCATTTCTTGTTTTTGTTTTGGCCAGCTACTACTTGAAAACATGGTGACTTTGTGAGAACAACAGGAAAATAACTGGAAAAGGCAACTACAGCCAACTACAGCAGGGAAGGCTGCCGGCCCGCCGTGCCCGTCCCCAACACACACCATGGAGACCCCAGGCTGGATCCTGTCACTCGCACCGAATTCCTGCCAGGGACCACAGCGGGTGCCGCCCCACACGCCCCTCACCCACTCATTGCTGCTGCCGTCATGCACTCAGAGCAGCAGCGAGTCCCCGTGACCCCAGCCTCTTGGGAGCTGCAGGACAACTCAAGAGCAAGCAATAACACGCCCATGCCCAGCCTGAGCCCCGCTCCAAGGGCTTTCATTCCTCATTTGCCCCAAAGAGTGAAATCAAGGATTCCTTAGTGTCATCAGGGGAAATATGCAGGATGCCCCGGGCTGCTAACAAACAGCTGGCCCTGCAGGGCAGGCAGCCCTTCACAGCTCCTCAGGCACAGCTCTCTGGGACAGCCTGGCTTCTGGTCCCAGTGCCAGGCACATCTCTGCCACAGGCTGTGCACGCCAGGGAAAGGTGTGGCGGTCTCTGGGCTCTGTGGGCCTTTATGTGACTTCAGCTGACGGCTGCTAGAGCTCAAAGGGCCAGAAAGAGGTCGGCTTTCTCCTCTTGCCACTTGCCATTTGACCCACCTGTCCATCACGTCAGGAGGCTGCTGCCTTGTGAGACATCGTGAGGGCACACGGCCTTATGCTCCCAGCAGCTAGCCGCTGTCCCGTCCGCTGACGCCCAGGGTCACGTGAGCCTCGGACAGGCCTGGCCCCCCTCCACTTGCTCCAGGTGCAGCTCAGCTCGTCTTCCCAAGCCTCACTTTTGTTCCGTGTTTCCATGTCAGTCCGTGTTCAGCCTTTGCGTGCCAAACCTGAGATGTCCTTCCCCCTCCCCGCCCTTTTTTTAATGGTACTCACCACAAAGCCACCTGGCAGGCAGCCCACCTCCACCAAGTCCAGTACCTACCCAGGCCCCAGGCCAGCACGCAGCAGCTGGGGAAGGTGGCAAGGCGCCAGGGAGTTCCCTGAGCCCACACTGGGCAGGTGCCCTGTGTTCACGCCCCTCTGTGAGGACACCTTGCAGCCCACTTCCTGTACCCCAGAAGCACAACACCAGGAACTCACAAGCAGCCTCCCCCGGTCATGACACCTGTAAGACACCTGTGGGGCTGTCGTGTTGGAGCAACCTAGGAAGGTGACATCCAGGTAGCACCGACACTTCTCATCTCCACCTTAGCTGACTCGAGTGCTGGTCCCGCAAAGTACAGATAGCTCAGCCAACAGGACTGAGCTGTCAGTGACCAGAGGTCAGCTCTCTGCACCAAAGCCTAGCCCAGCGGTGGGGGCAGCTCTGGGCGGGCGAAGGTCTCTCGGGGCCACGTCCGGCCGCAGCTGCCTCAGTGAGGGGGGCACATCAGAAGCTCCTGGGGAACACCTTTAGGGAATGTTACCAAAGCCTCGCAGCTCTGCCACGCGTGGAGTCCCATGGCCACGTGGAAACGGCAGGTGCACCCGGGCCAGCGTCAGGCCTGCCTGGTCCAGCACCCCACCCCACCCCACCCGACACCTGAGCTCTTTGGTCCTGCGTCCTCCTAAGTGAGGAGACGCTCCTCTGGCACCTCTCATGCCAGGGGAAGGAGTAGACTCCCCGCCGTGCTCCCTCCACACAGCGCTGCCAGCCTGTCAGGCAGACGCAGCCTCCTTCCATAAGTTACACACTCATGTGGACAGCTGAATGGAGCTGCACATGATTTGTTCTGTTCCAGATGTCAATAGTAGCTCTTGTCAAACTCTCTATCAGCCCCCAGGACGAACAGGGCAGAGCTGTCATGCTCTCCTGGAGTACCGGCACCTGAAGACAGGGCCTGGGAAGTGAGCTCAGCCGGAGAAGAGGGAGGAAGCAAAAAAACACAAACATATATATATATAAAATACCAACCTCACAAGGGAAGTGCTGCCCTCAAGTACTGCTACTTCCTAGAGCCAAACGAGACCCCTGGAACTAGAAGTGCCATTGAAGCCAACTTGCTACTGTCCCTTCACCCAGCGTGGGGAGGCCCTTCCACGTGGACACGTCCACGAGCTGTGTCGTAGAGCAGTACGGTGTGTTCCGTCTAAGTGGGGATGCTCCCCTCCCCTGCCCACCTGCCTGCCCCCTCGTGGGGTCGTGTCAGCCCTGTGTGGGTGTGGCTGGCTGCTGCCAGGGACGCCCCCGGCGGTGCTCCTTGATGGCACAAGCTTACACTGCGTTTCGGAACTGTGGTCTGCAGCCACGTGTGTCTGCATGGTGTCCCATCTGTTGTACCTTTGGGGAAACTTTGTATGTACGTGTACAGAAATAAAACATTTGTTGCCCACGAACAGATTTCCTCTGGAGTGTGTTCCCTACCTCACCTGTGGTGTCTGACGGCAGGTGTCTCGCCACTGCTGAGGCCGAGGGGTAAACACGCTTCGTGCTACTCGGCCCCCGGGGCCCTGACGTGCCTGCTTCCACGGCCCACGGATGCTGCATAGCCCTCGCCCCACGGAGGGGGGCAGGCTGGGGGTAGGCAGGCCTCGCTCTGCTCTGAGTCTGGCCTTAGCAGGCAGCCAGAGGCAGAGATCAGAATAGACACTGTTTATCCAGAGCTGCCCTCGGGCCACCTGAGAACGGGCGAAGAGGAATTCCTTTTCTCTTGCCTCTGAGCTGCTGCTCCAGGCTGAGGATTCCTGGAGAGGTCAGGAAATGGGTATCTTACACTGTGACTCTGCAGGAAAGACTGACAACCCAGAACTCTCTGCTCTAATGTAGTATTTTTTTTTAACAAGAAAACAATATTTCTTTAATAAAGCATTTATACCAAACTCCTCAGGCCTGACTGTGTCACTTTGTGGCTGCATCCCTAAGAGGTGCCCCACCGTGCTGCCCGACAGCATGCCGAGGGCATCAGCCCTGAGCTCCGCGTGGCAAAGGCTACAGGAGGGCAGACCTGGACGTCCAGGCTGCCCACGGGCCCCACCTGCCCCCGGCCACTCCACAAGTGTCACAGGCCCCTGACCCATCCACTGATGGGGCCGGTCCAGCCGGGCAGCAAAGGCTGCCAAGACTCAGTCAGTGGTCCTACTCTGACCTAATCAGAAAAGCACGGCGCGTCTTTGACCAGCTCCTTGGCTTCCAGTCTGTCTCCCTGTTAACTGCCCCAGGAGGCAGGGGTCGATGGCAGACGTACTGGCATTCCTGCCATCCTGGATGACCCCTGCCCCTGGCCTCTGTGGGAGGCAATCACAGAGGGAGGATCTCCATGCACCCTTAGTCCACTCCAGCACTCCACCTCCCGGGTATCTCTTAAAAGAAAAACACGAAATAAAAACAAAGCAAGAAACTGGGAGGAAAAGACAGTTAAGTGAACGGAAACATCTATATCCTTAGAGAATTCCGGCCATAACTCACAGTTGCCAGGGCACATTTAGTTTGCAACGAATTTCCATATACTTAATTCTAACAAGAATCCAGCAAGTTATGACTCTCGCTTTACAAATAGGAAACGGGACCGAAAAAATTAGAGGATTCTCCAAGACCCAAGGGGGTTCCAACAGGGAGCGCACAGTGGCCCTGGGGAAGGGTTTAGGGAGCGCGCAGTGGCCCTGGGGAAGGGTTTAGGGAGTGCACAGTGGCCCTGGGGAAGGGTTTAGGGAGCACAGTGGCCCTGGGGAAGGGTTTAGAGCACGCACAATGGTCCTGGGAAGGGTTCAGGGGTTGCACAGTGGCCCTGGGGAAGGGTTTAGGGGGCGCACAGTGGCCCTGGGGAAGGGTTCAGGGGTTGCACAGTGGCCCTGGGGAAGGGTTTAGGGGGCGCACAGTGGCCCTGGGAAGGGTTTAGGGAGTGCACAGTGGCCGTGGGGAAGGGTTTAGGGAGTGCACAGTGGCCCTGGGAAGGGTTTAGGGGGTGCACAGTGGCCCTGGGGAAGGGTTTAGGGAGCGCACAAGGAGCACCTGGAGAAGGGTTTAGGGAGTGCACAGTGGCCGTGGGGAAGGGTTTAGGGAGTGCACAGTGGCCCTGGGGAAGGGTTTAGGGAGTGCACAGTGGCCGTGGGGAAGGGTTTAGGGAGTGCACAGTGGCCCTGGGGAAGGGTTTAGGGAGCACCTGGGAAGGTTTAGGGAGAACATGGCTGCCAGGCTTAGCTGAAATGGATAGGGGATATACCAGCTCAGAAGGAAGGACTGAAGCCTCAACACGTTTACACTAAGTCTTGTTGGGAATGCCCTAACTGGGTCCTGACGAGTGTGAATTCTTGGGTCAGACTAACCCCTCAAGCCCAAGCAACCCCCACTTTCACTCCTTTTCCTTTCCCGGAGCAAATGAGGAAGTAGTTAGCACCCCTCCTGTCCTTCCTCTTCCCAAGCTGAATCAGGAGCCTCAGGCCACACTGATGACACGGGAAACCTGGCAGGATCGGCCTTAGCCAACCAAGAGTGAGCAAGCTGATGACACAATGAAAGCCAGTCCGTTTATTACGGAGTACCATACATGAGCTGCGCTGTTCCGCTAGAACTTCTCCGGGAAGGCCTCCATTTCCTCCTTGAGCCTGTTCTCCACGAGCAGCGCGAAGTTACTGTCTGTGTTCTGAAGGTTATAGCTCACAAACACCTGTTTGTTGGTCTTCCTGGCTAAAAAGAGAAAACAGTGACAGCTGTGACAAAGACCCAGCAGCTGCCGCGTCCCCCACAACAGCTGGGGGAGGGCCGACTGCACACAGCTGCCGTGTCCCCCACAACACCTGGGGGAGGGCTGACTGCACACAGCTGCCGCGTCCCCCACAACCAGCTGGGGCCGACTGCACACAGCTGCCGTGTCCCCCACAACAGCTGGGGAGAGGGCCGACTGCACACAGCTGCCGTGTCCCCCACAACAGCTGGGGGAGGGCCGACTGCACACAGCTGCCGTGTCCCCCACAACCAGCTGGGGGAGGGCCGACTGCACACAGCTGCCGTGTCCCCCCACAACGGCTGGGGAGAGGGCTGCTGCCAATGGGCCCTCTGTCTCGTTCCCCACAAGAGCAGCATCCCCAGGCACCTGTTAGAGGCCGAGTCCTAGGTCCCTCCGTGCCCCTGCATCAGAGTCAGGGTGGGGCCAGCAGTGTTAGCCCAACCAAGGCACCCAAACACTTGGGTTTGAGAAACTCCGCTAAACCAAGAGGGGTTCTGGTGGTGAAGTGTTTTTTTTAACCTTTTTTACACACCTACGTGCACACACACCTATGTACGTGGCCAAACACACACACACCTATTACATGCGACACACACCTATGTACATGGGCACACACACCTATGTCGTAGGCACACACACTTTCCTGATGTTACATGGAAATGAAAGCCCCTTTCTATGGAATAATTGTTGAATTGCACTAATCCAAATGCAAGGTCAGAATCACATGCGCAGAATCTGAAATATAAACTAGTACCCTGAAATCAACTGACCAAACGGGTAAGACTCAGGGAGGGACCAAGGCCTCCTCTTCTCTCCTCCCCCAAAGGCAGCAGGGGACGACGCAGGGCCAGGCTCCACAGGGGGTCACAGGCAGACAGGGACGAAACAGGGTCAGGCTCCACTGGAGGTCACAGGGAGTTGGGGACGGGCAGGGTCTGGCTCCACCGGGGATCACAGGCGGACAGGGACGAAGCAGGGCTGAGCTCCACTGGGGGTCACAGGCAGTTGGGGACGAGGCAGGGTCTGGCTCCACCGGGGGGTCACAGGTGCTTTAGAACAGACATAGCCACATCTCCTGGCTCTGACTCCATCCTCGTGGCCGTTGTCCTCCCAACAGCCCCAACCAGCGGGACCAGCAGGATACAGTGTGTGAGGACAGGCCACACGGGAGGTACTGCTGGCATCGTGCCCCAGCCAGTGGAAGGTTCCCGCCCTCCGTGGACACAGCAATGGCAGGAGCAGCCTGCTGCTGCCCTGGACGGCTGCCCGAGCTCACCTCAGGGCAGCTGTTGCTCCACAGAAAGGCGGGCAGAAGCAGCTGCTGGTCCACACAGCAGGCCTCCCCAGGTAGAGCGGGTGCCTCCCCCAGGCTGTGAGGCAGTCTTAACAGACGGAACACAAGGAGAGTGAGACAGCGACCCCAGGGCTCAGCAAGGCTGCCGCGGAAGGCCTGCCCATGTCTACTGCAAGCCCACTGCTCTCACTGCTTTGCAAGGTTCCTCCAGGGAGCAGGGCTCTGTCAGCCAGCACCAGCCCTCCAGGCTGCATCACCCACGGGAGAGCCTGCGGTGCTTCCAGGGCTAGCTGGAGCCTGCAGGCCCGCACTCTCCCACCTCACCTTCCTCTTCTACACGGCAAGGAAAGCTGGACCACCCAAGAACAGAGCAGCAGTGCCAGACCCTCTGGAGATGCCAGCAGTGCCCAAAGCACGCCACAGACTCCCACGGCCAACACACTGTGCACTGCACAGGCAGAGGCCAGACCTCGGACACCCTGGGCCTCCTTCACTCCACAGATATAAAGCTTCCTGTCTGAGCCACATCAAGCGAGCTCCCAGCATACTCCCCCATGGGGCCTAATGTGGCAATCGCGCCCAGCCTCCTGTGCCCACTCACATGAACCCCTCCCCTCACCGTCGCATGAGTAGGCACTCGGACAAGTGTCACCCCTCAAGAGCTGACAAAAACAGAGCTGAGCTCTCACAGCAAAGGGGCTGTGCGTCTTCAACAGACCCTCACCATGGTTCAGAGGAAACTCAACAGTCCCGCGGACAGAGAAGGGGAACAGCTGGGACACTGGGCGCTCCGCAGGCATTCCTGGCACCTTTCCTGTATGTTTGAAACGACCATCTACCAGCTGCCCAGGTTCCTAGTCCAGCAGTTAAGACACCCACATCCCAAATCAAGAGTGGCTGGGTGGGGCTGCTGCCGTGCCCTAGCCACAAAGCTGGCACCCCACGCGGGCACCGGCTGTAGTGCCTGCTGCTCTACTTCCTACCCAGCTCGCTGCCAACGGCCTCCTGACACCAATGTGGGGGACTTGGAAACAGCAGCTCCTGGCTTCTGGCCCAGCCCCCGCTGTCACGCCATGAGGGGAGTGCAGCGGCGGAGGAAGATGCGTCTCTCCCTGTAACACTTACAAATGAAGAACTTTTTTAAATTGATTTTTATCGCTAAGTCAGATATGCAGAGGAGGAGAGACAGAGAGGGAGATCTCCCATCCGCTGACTCACTCCCCAAGTGGCCACAATGGCTGGAGCTGAGCCAATCCGAAGCCAGGAGCCAGGTAATTGCTCCAGGTCTCCCATGTGGGTGCAGGGTCCCAAGGCTTTGGGTTGTCCTTGACTGCTTTCCCAGGCCACAGGCAGGGAGCTGGATGGGAAGCAGGGCATCCAGGATTAGAACCAGCACCCATCATATGGGATTCTGGTACGTGCCAGGTGAAGACTTTAGCCGCTAGACTACCACGCTGGGCCCAAAGAAATTTTTTTTTTAATTTTGATGACCTTTACATATTTGATTAGGGCACAAAAGGTCAAGGGTTACAGGAAAGTAGGTAAGACCATTGTTTCCACATCCTCTTTTTTTTTCTTCTGTAACTGGGGGAAGAGGGGAGACAAAGGGAGAAGCCCCACCCACCCTCCCCCCATCCCAGGGTCCCCGACATGGGGCCCGTTCCAGGGCACTGCTCAAGTAGTTTAGATAGTTCAAAGGTTCTGAATTGCTGCCAATCTCGCCGTTCCAAGCATGATGAAATCTCCAGAATCCACTAGCTGACACAGTCCACCTTAGTGTCTCCATTACCCGATTTATCTTAAAAAAAAAAAAAAAGGCCCAGCACAGTGACCTAGTGGCTAAAGCCCTCGCCTTGCACATGCTGGGATCCCATATGGACGCCGGTTCTAATCCCAGCAGCTCCGCTTCCCATCCAGCTCTCTGCTTGTGGCCTGGGAAAGCAGTCAAGGATGATCCAAAAGTCTTTGGGACCCTGCACCCGAGTGGGAGACCTGGAAGAGATTCCTGGCTTCTGGCTTCGGATTGGTGCAGCACCGGCTGTTGTGGTCACTTGGGGAGTAAATTATCGGATGGAAGATCTTCCTCTCTGTATATCTGACTTTGCAATAAAAAATAAATCTTTAAAAGAAAAAACCACCCCAGCTGGGTTGAGGTTCCCACCAAAGGGCACGTGGGCTGGAATGGGGGCTGCGTTCTGATCAGAATATGCTAGCAGTCTCCCCTGGCACAAGTGTGGACTGCGACTGGACGCACCAAGCTGGGCCAGACTCCAACACCCTCTGGTGTCCTGGAGGACCAGGGTAGATGTGGGACAGACTAGGCTAGGTCTCAACCCCAACTGAGCCATGTGTGAACTGTATGTGGGTATGGACGAGCCGTGGCTGGGCTGAAACATCCAACAGTAAGAACCAGATTGGGTTGAAGGCGAGTCAGGAAAGGCCACTATTCCTACTAGGACAGGAGGTGAGCTGAATAGGGCTGGCTCATGGACCCACTGGTATGCACGAAATCTGGCACTGGGAGAGGTTCTGATGGAGGAGCCTGGGCAACTCCTCTGGCAGGACACAGACCCGGCAGGTAAGCACAAGAAGCATGAAAGGAAACAGCCCAGAACAGGCCATGGTAAGTTACCCACTGGCATACATTTGGCATGGGTCAGGGGCCAACCAGGCTGAATCAGTTCATGTCATCCACTGGCAAATCCCAGCACCAGAACAGAGTGTGGGTCGAGCCAGGTTCGGTCGCGACAAAAACCAGTGCACAATACAGAATGCCAAGGTGAGGTGACCTGTACCGGATGTGACTGCAGCGGCCAACAGCACACATGAGAACCAGGAGGAAGGGGGCAGAACCAGCCGAGGGAGTTTGGGGGTGTTCCCCTGCTGGACAGCCACTGCCACTGGAGAGTGTGAGCTGGGATGGGGGCAGACCAGACTAGGCAGGGCTACCACACCTGTGGGCCTCAGGTGGACTAGATCAGGGAAAAGCCAGGCCGGGCTGATTATTCCTACTGCTGTAAACTAAAATTAGAGTGGGAGAGGGTTGGTTGGGCTTAGCCGCAGCATCAGCTGGCAGAACCTGGCACTGGGAGCTAATTCTGTCTAGTCAAGCCACAGAACCACCTAGAGAGTGCATAATCCAGGAGTGGGAGAGGCCTGGGAGGGAAATAGTGGGCTCCTCCCTCTTGGGTTACCACTCCCACTGGAGGGCACGAAAACTAGGACAGGGGCTGGGGTGGCTAGACAGAAGGGTACCCAACAGCATGTGTGTGGACTAGATAGTAGAGCTGGTTAGATGGAACAAGGTTTTAATACCCATTGACATGTGTGAGAGCTGAATGGGATGTGGGACAGACTGGATTAGTCTGCCACACATACTGGCAAACCAGGGCAGGGTGCGGGTCTGATGGGGGTTATTGTGGGTTGCTCCGACTAGGCTGCAGCTCCTACTGGTTTATGTGAGGGCCGAGTGTGTGCTGGGCAAAACCAGGCTGGACTGCAATACCCATTGGTTCCAGTAGAAGTCAGTGCTGGAAACAGAACCAATCCAGCAGTTGCAACCACCACCAGCTGATCGGGGTGATGGACTGTGCTGGGCCCTGTACTTGCTAGTACATACAAGAATCTGGTCTGGGAACACCTCAAAGTTTGTTTGGGGATCTCCCCAGTCGAACTGCTGGACTCAGAACCCTAACCATGAAAGGACAGAAGATAGAACCAGTCAATCAACCACCTCAGCCATATGTTGGCAGTGAAAAACTGGGCAAACGGGGACTCTATGATGGACTATGTCAATCAGTGGATTCTCCAACGACCTCAACGTGCTTGGAGTGGCGAGATTGACAGCAATTCGTAACTGTTGAACTATCAAAACCACTTGAGCAAGAATCTCGGAGCATGCCCCACATCAGGGACCTGAGATGGGTGGGAGACTGGGTGGGGCTTCTCCCTTAAAATCCCCCTTTACCTCAGATACATGAAGGAAACAATGTGGAAATAAGTCTTACCAACTTTCCTATAGCCCTTGAACCTTTTTACCTTAATTAGCTATGTAAAGATTGTCAAAAATATAATTTAAAAAACGGAAAAAGTTAATAAAAATAAATCTTAAAAAAAAAAAAGAATGGCCATGTTGCTGTTGTGCTGAGCTCCCAACTCGAGCTCTCTGACCAAGCAGAGTCTGGTAGACAGCGCTGGCTCGCGCACCAGGGGTCCTGTACCGAGCAGGGAGAACGAGGCATTGTGCCTGGCTCTGACCCCAGCCACGTGGCGGGAGACCCAGCGGACGGGAGCCCCGGTGCATGCCCCCTTGAGTGTATCTGTCCCTCTGCCTCTCTTTTAAACTGAAGAAAGCAAGTTACTCATCGGGCCAGCCTCCCGGCTAGAGGACCCAGCCCTAGGCGCACGGACGGGGTGGGCGTCCGCCAGCCCTGCCTCCTCCCGAGCTGTGCGCTGGACTGCGCAGGAGCAAGGCCCCAGGGTCACTGGGACAGACTCTGCTTGTCCAGGATCAGGTGGACAGCGGCCTCTTCACACAGCTCCTCCAAACTGGGGGTGTGTACCCCGAGACATAGAAGGGCCCCAGGACCCGCTCTAGAACCGCAGTGACTGGGAAGCCTGACGCCTGGGGAGGCCAGGAGCTGCCTTCCTGCAGGTGGTCACAAGACTGGGCAAGGCTGCTGTTCCTCTTACCTCGGCCACCTGGGCCCGTACGGCAGTGTGTGCCCGGGCACAGGACGGGGCAGAACCATCAGCCTCACACCCCTCCCAACTCCCATTGCCCACGCAGCAGTGGGCTGCGGCCGATCCCCCTGCCCACCTCGGAAGGCCGCCAGCCAGGGACTGAAGGCCAGTCATTCCTGCCCAGAACGACACCTGTTCCACAGGTCCACCAGACTCCAGTGGGGGCCTGCAGGTGCTGTGGGCATTTCCAAGAGGAAGCAGCAGTGCTTGGGGGGGTGGTGCTAAATCAGCCCCCCAGCCAAGACGTCCCCCAGGAGCACAGACGTGCCCCCAACAGGAACACCGACACACAAAGCGCTGTGCTTGCAAGCAGCAAGACGTGACCACTCTCATGCGGAAGGCCCCGCAGGGCACAGCGGCGTCCAGCGGGCTGGCCTTGCAGCACCAGCGTGGGTACGTACCTAGGCGCTGGGCAAGGCCGGTGGAACTCGTGTCGGAAGCGTCTCCGAGCAGGGAGGTAGACACGGGGATGGAGTCCTACAAGGAAAGAGAGCAACCTCAACCACTCCAAAGGCCTAGCTTAGTGGGAGAAACCCCCATCAGCGGCCTCTTCCCAGAACAGCACGCTTCAAGGAGACCCCGGGCCCTGGGGTGTAGTCCCCGCAAAGGACCACTGTCCAGGGGAGACAGTGACCAGAGCCAGCCCCCACTGCCTGGCGGAGACAGACCTAAGATAACGCCTCGTCTCCTCGGGGCACACGGTCCCTGACACAACACACAGGACAGCTCTGCTTGTGAACAGAATGAACATAAGCCACAAGAGGGAGCAAAGCATTAGCTGCAATTTTTTTTTTTTAAGATTTATTTATTTTTATTGGAAAGGCAGATATACATACACAGAGCGGAGGAGAGACAGAGAGGAAGATCTTCTGTCTGACGACTCACTCCCTAAACGACCGCTACGGTTGGAGCTGAGCCAATCTGAAGCCAGGAGCCAGGTAATTGCTCCAGGTCTCCCATGTGGGTGCAGGGTCCCAAGATCTTGGGTCGTCCTCAACTGCTTTCCCAGGCCACAAGCAGGGAGCTGGATGGGAAGCGGGGCCACGGGGATTAGAACCTGCGCCTACAGGGGACCCCGACACGGTCAAGGTGAGGACCTTAACCACTACACTATCACGCCAGGCCCAACTGCACTTTTTTTTAAAGACTTATTTTTGTTTCTTTTTCTTTTTTTTTAATTGAAAAGATATACAGAGAGGAGGAGAGACAGAGAAGATCTTCCATCTGATGATTCACTCCCCAAGAGGCCACAACAGCCAGAGCTGAGCCAATCAGAAGCCAGGAGCCTCCTCCAGGTCTCCCACACAGGTGCAGGGTCCCAAGGCTTTGGGCCGTCCTCCACTGCTTTCCCAGGCCACAGGCAGGGAGCTGGATGGGAAGCGGGGCTGCCAGGATTAGAACCAGTGCCCATATGGAATCCCGGAATGGGCAAGGTGAGGACTTTAACCGCTAGGTTACCACACCAGGCCATACACTTGTTTTTAAACTAGAAAAGACACAAAAGTATTGAATTGTTACTGCACCTTTCTGCAGTCCAGATTCAACCTTTAAGTGTATTGTTAATTAATTAATTAATATTGTTTAACTGTAAACAATATTTACAGTGAAACCACAGAAAAAAAGAAATTCTTACCAGGTTGAATATTCTACCTCCGCCCTCCCAAAAAAAGCAAATAAAACAAACAGGAAACTTTAAATCTATGTTATTAGCCTTCTTAATAGCTCACTACCTCCAAAATCACTCTGGGATACTGGACTCCCAATGTGTCAGGCCAGTGAACAAACAGGGACTCAGCCAGCCGCCCTCCGGGAGGCAGGGCATCCCCAGGCCTGCAGGCCCTGCTCTCCACGGCAGCCCAGCTCTTTCTATTTCCCTTGGGCTTGTCACACAGGAGCAGGTCTAAGGAGGGGAAGGAGAAGGCCCTCAGGGACCCTGGGGTGCCGTGCCACCCAGGAGGGGCTGGCAATCTTAGTAGGAGGGGCTGAGTAGTGAATCAGCTGATGGCTTGTGGGCCACCAAGGCTCCACTCCAACCCCCCACCTCTCCTCCATGTGTCAAAGCCACCAGAGCCCGCCTGCTTCAGAGTGCACAGTCAGGACTCAACACAGCTCTGCCGCAGGAGACAGCCAGCTCAGGCCCTGATCCCCAGCAGCCCTGGGCTCCCGCCTCAGCCGCTGCACCTCTCCTCCACAGCCAGCTCAGGGCAGGAACTTCCAGGCACCCAGGGACCTGACTCGGCAGGCACCGACAGTGGTCGGGAGCTGTATCGTGTGCTCAGCCCACCAGAGCTGCCCACTTGCTGCCAAGCCCTCTGCAGTGCTGGGCACAGGGCTGACGGCATTGCTGGCCCATCACGATGCTTTGCCAGCCCCCTGTCTTACTCAAGGCCTATGACCAAAGCCTCAGGACCAGGAAAGAGAAACAGGACGTGGCTACAAACACGCAGCTCACTTCCCACCCGTCAGCCCAGAACTCACCCTTTCCTCCAATGAAAGAAAACCTGGAACTGCCTCCACACAGGGTCCACCTGTCTGAGTTCACCCCCACCGGCCCCTGACCCCTGCCCTCTCCAGAAAAAGTCACCCAAAGAGAAAGGCAGGCTGGCCCTGAGTGTGGGCAGGAAGACTGGGAGCGGGTCAGGGAGACCCACGGCTCCTCACCTCCCCAGTGCTGCCCGGCTTACGCTGGTTCTGCCTGAGGGGCGTGAACACTAGATAATCAGAAAACATCACCAGCTCTCCAGCACAGAACACTGAGGGTCGGGCAGCCAGGAAGCCCCGGGGCTGCACGAAAGAGTGGGCAAGGGGCAGCGCCAGGGCCGACAGATCTCCAACCCTGCTCTGAGCGCATCTATCAAGTGGTTCCAGGCAAAGGGATGACAAGGGCTGCCTCAAGCTGACACTGTCACTGAAAAGCCCTGGGCAGTGCCAATGCCTAACCCTGGTACACACAGCAGCCCTGGGTAATCAGTGCCAGATCCTAACCCTGGTGCTCTTACACAGCAGCACTGGGCAGTGCCAGGTTCTAACCCTGGTACTCTTACACAGCAGCCCTGGACAGTGCCAGGTTCTAACCCTGGTACCTGGCACTCACGCACAGCAGCCCTGCGCAGTGCCAGGTCCTAACCCTGGTACTCACGCACAGCAGCCCTGGGCAGTGCCAGGTCCTAACCCTGGTACCTGGCACTCACGCACAGCAGCCCTGTGCAGTCAGTGCCAGGTCCTAACCCTGGTACCTGGCACTCACGCACAGCAGCCCTGTGCAGTCAGTGCCAGGTCCTAACCCTGGTACCTGGCACTCACGCACAGCAGCCCTGTGCAGTCAGTGCCAGGTCCTAACCCTGGTACCTGGGACACACAGCAGCCCTGTGCAGTCAGTGCCAGGTCCTAACCCTGGTACCTGGCACTCACGCACAGCAGCCCTGTGCAGTCAGTGCCAGGTCCTAACCCTGGTACCTGGGACACACAGCAGCCCTGCGCAGTCAGTGCCAGGTCTAACCCTGGTACCTGGGACACACAGCAGCCCTGCGCAGTCAGTGCCAGGTCCTAACCCTGGTACCTGGGACACACAGCAGCCCTGCGCAGTCAGTGCCAGGTCTAACCCTGGTACCTGGGACACACAGCAGCCCTGCGCAGTCAGTGCCAGGTCTAACCCTGGTACCTGGGACACACAGCAGCCCTGCGCAGTCAGTGCCAGGTCCTAACCCTGGTACCTGGGACACACAGCAGCCCTGCGCAGTCAGTGCCAGGTCCTAACCCTGGTACCTGGGACACACAGCAGCACTGCGCAGTCAGTGCCAGGTCTAACCCTGGTACCTGGGACACACAGCAGCCCTGCGCAGTCAGTGCCAGGTCTAACCCTGGTACCTGGGACACACAGCAGCCCTGCGCAGTCAGTGCCAGGTCCTAACCCTGGTACCTGGGACACACAGCAGCCCTGCGCAGTCAGTGCCAGGTCTAACCCTGGTACCTGGGACACACAGCAGCCCTGCGCAGTCAGTGCCAGGTCTAACCCTGGTACCTGGGACACAGCAGCCCTGCGCAGTCAGGTCTAACCCTGGTACCTGGGACACACAGCAGCCCTGCGCAGTCAGTGCCAGGTCCTAACCCTGGTACCTGGGACACACAGCAGCCCTGCGCAGTCAGGTCTAACCCTGGTACCTGGGACACACAGCAGCCCTGCGCAGTCAGTGCCAGGTCTAACCCTGGTACCTGGGACACACAGCAGCCCTGCGCAGTCAGGTCTAACCCTGGTACCTGGGACACACAGCAGCCCTGCGCAGTCAGTGCCAGGTCTAACCCTGGTACCTGGGACACACAGCAGCCCTGCGCAGTCAGTGCCAGGTCTAACCCTGGTACCTGGCACTCACGCACAGCAGCCCTGCGCAGTCAGTGCCAGGTCCTAACCCTGGTACCTGGGACACACAGCAGCCCTGCGCAGTCAGGTCTAACCCTGGTACCTGGCACTCAGACCCAGTACTTTAGTGTAGAAAGTAACTACGCTATAAAAGCATATGAGCGGGCATTTCATCCAACATGTGAGCGTCCACAGAGAAACACAGCGGGACTGGCACACGGGCACCAGGGCAAAGTCAGACGAGTGCCAGTTTGGGGCCCGGCTGTTCCACTGGCCATCCAGACCCCTGGGGAGGCAGTGGAAGATGGTCCAGGTGCCCGGGCCCAGGCACCCTCGTGGGCAGCCAGGAGGAAGTTTTGGACTCCTGGTTTTAGCCTGGCTGCTGTGGTCATCTGGGAGTGATCCAGCAGATGGACAACAGGCAGGCAGGCAGGCAGACTGATCTAACTTAGCTTTGCAAATCTTTTAAAAAGCACAGAAGAGCTAGTGCAGTGGTCTGTCAGGCTGATCCTCCACTTGGGGGACTCCAGGCTCCCCAGCCTTGCACTGGCCCAGCTCTGGCCACTGCAGCCATTTGGGGAGTGAACCAGCAGACAGAAGACCTTTCTCTCTGTCCCTTCTCAAACTCTGACTTACAAGTAAAATAAATAAATCTCTTTTTAAAAAAATTAGAGGGAACAGAAACACAAGAAGCAAATATCACAGTAACACGGGAGGCCAGGACGGGAGTAAGCCGTGAGGAGCAGTGACACCTGAGGACACAGGCACAGGGCGCCCGGGGCCTCCACAAGGGACAGCCCCAGGCCCCCACCACCGGCTTCCAGAACCGGGCGGAGATGACTGCTCTGTGGTGGGGGTCCTGGGAAAGCCATCTGGGAGAGGGGAGGGGAGCAGACAGGAGGGCAAGTGGGACCAGAACCCATCGCCCCCAACGTCGGGCAGGAATCCAGCCAGTGTGAGCCAAGCCCCTAGCTCACCCCAAGTTCACGGGAGACGGCAGGGGTCCCTGGGCACGCTGGCCCTCAGGGAGCTGCACAGGGGCTCGGCCCGGGGCAAGGCAGCTGCAGAGGGGCCCGGCCCACAGGGAGCTGCAGAGGGGCTCGGCCCACAGGGAGCTGCACAGGGGCCCGGGGCACAGGGAGCTGCACAGGGGCTCGGCCCGGCCCTCAGGGAGCTGCAGAGGGGCTCGGCCCGGGGCACAGGGAGCTGCAGAGGGACTCGGCCCGGGGCACAGGGAGCTGCAGAGGGGCTCGGCCCGGCCCTCAGGGAGCTGCAGAGGGGCTCGGCCCACAGAGAGCTGCAAAGGGGCTCGACCCACGACGACCCTCGGCTCCCGCCACCCCGCCCACACTCACGTAGCGGCTGCACATGGCCACTGCGAGGTTGCGCAAGTGCGGCGCGGCGCCCACCCACAGGAAGAGCGAGTCGGTCAGCCGCATGACGTGGAAGTGCACGAGCTGCTCCCACAGCCGCGCGCTGAAGTTGTGCAGCGACACCTCGCCGGCCGCGGCTCCCTCCATGCCGCCGGCCACGCAGACCCGAGCGAGCGAGCGCCGAGAGTCCGAGTGAGCGCCGAGCGGCCGAGCCCGCGGCCCGGAGAGAGGGCGGAGCAGGAAGGAGAAGGGGCGGAACCGGGGAGAGGGTGGGGCGGGGAGAGGGCGGAGCAGGAAGGAGAGGGGGCGTAGCCGGGGAGCGGGCGGGGCCGGAGAGGGCGGAGTAGGAAGGAGAAGGGGCGGGGCCGGGGAGAGGGCGGGGCCGGGGAGAGGGCGGAGCAGGAAGGAGAGGGGGCAGGGCCGGTGAGCGGGCGGGGCCGAGGAGAGGCGGAGCAGGAAAAGGGGGCGGTACCAGAGGCGGCGGGGCAGGAAGGAGATAGGCGGGTCCAGGGAGAGGGCGGGGCTCCCGAATGGGCGGGGCAGGGTAGGAACTGGGCCTCGGAGCGAGCGGGTTGGAGAGAGGGCGGGGCCGGGTAGAGAGTGGGGACGGGAACGGAGAGGAGGGGGCGGGTCGGAGAGAGGGCGGGGCCGGAGAGGGGGCGGGAACGGAGAGGGGGCGGAGCCGGGGAGGGGGCGGTGCTGGAACGTGGGCGTGGCCGGAGAGAGAAAGCCGGCCCCCGCAGCCCAGCTGGCCTGCCTGGGGCGCGCGTGCTCCGCGGCTCCTGGCCTCTGTGAGGCTGAGGTAGCTTCAAAATGGAGGCAGGTGCAGGTCCGGCTCCGAGGAGAGGACAGGGTAAGAAAAGTGTGGCCTTCAGTTCCCCGGAAACGCTAGCTATTCATGCCCGTCCTGAGGTGCCCGACTCACCCTTCCCCTGAAATCAGTTTCCCTGAGCCCCCTATCCTGGATCCAGGGAGAATGTTCTAGAAAAACAGCCCTAGGTTCCATCTGGTCAGATTCCGTGAGCCGACTGCCTGTGAGGATTTCAGTCAGAATTCCCAGGGTCGGCTCCTGCGCACTCTCAGGGGTTCCGGTTAACTAAACAAACTTAAGAGGGTCACGGCTTTTATAGGTTCTGTCCACTTCTTAATTATCATAGTTCATGGTCAGGTCAATATTTTCATAGCTATATTAAAGTATAGCAACCAGCCATACTTGAACTGGACTAATTGGGGTTCTGATGAGGATGTAAGCATGAAACCATCATTAAAATCAGCCTGGAGAACATGGTGACCCCCCCACTCCTCAGTAATCACTGCCTGGCTCCCCTCCCACCATACACACACACACACACACACACACACACACACACAGTCATTGTACTCTCTATGGCTCAAGATGAGTTTTCATTTTCTGGAGGTTTCTGTAAGTCACCCAGGGCATACTAGCTTTGTCCAGCTTCTTTGCTTGCGTGTCATTGCTTCGGGGTTCACTCAGCCTGCGAGGCCATGGTCGTCCGTTCCTTTTTGTCGTCAGTAGCACGTGGGATGGCCGTTCTGCCATGCAGGCTGTTTGCAGTTTGGGAGTGTTGCAGTAACGCTGTTATGAACATAAGTGTACGAATGCATTTGTGAAAACATGCTTTGTTTGTTTGTTTTTAGATAATATGGACCTAGGACTAGAAGGACAATATCATATACTGGTCTGAACAGTCCAAGCACCTGGCCAACCGTGTTCTAGAATGTACTGTCGCCCATTCCTCTCAGCCAGCAGTGGGTGTGGATTACGGGTACGTCACAGCCTTCTCACATAGCAAGGCAGCATCTTCATGTTACCCATCTGGTTTAAAGCACATCCTGTCAGTGACTAATGAGCCCCAGTACGTATTCACACCATACACAAAAACAAACTTGGAATGGCGCATAGTAAGCTCATCATTAACCTAAAACTAGACAACTTCCAGAAGAAAGCAAAGAATGAAGCTTTTGCGGCCTTTGGTGTAGCCGAGACTACACAGCTACGACACCAGGTACCATCCATGGCAGAACACGTGGGCCGACTGGATCTCACCGACATTTCCCACTTCTCTACAGGAGGCGAGCGGATGACGCACAGGTGGATAGACGCTGAACCTGGGGCAGTGTTGCCATGTAGTGCGTCACACAGCTGCTTGGGACACCTGACGCCTATGTGGGAGTGCCTGGGATCCAGTCCCACCTGTTTCTGATCCAGCTTTTTGCTAATCAGCAGTGTAAGATGGCCCAAGCACGTGGCTCTCTGCCACTCACACAGATGACCTGGATGGAATTCCTGACTCCTGGCCAGGCCCAGCCCACCCCAATTCCGGCCCATGCTGGTGGGGGCTACAGCCTAACCCAGCCCTGCCAGCTCCAGTCCTGGCCCTAATGTGTACTAGCTGGTATGGCACCCCAACCTGGCCTGGCCCACACTCCATTCTGGTGCTCAGATTTGCCAACAGGTGATATGAACTGACCCAGCCTGGTCTGCCCCCGACTTGCGCCAAATGTATGTCAGTGGGCAGAGTTTCCTGGCCTGGTCTGGGCTGCTCCAGTCTTGGTTCTTGCACTCACCTGCAGGGAGCATGTCCCGACAGAGGAGATGCCCAGGCTCCTCCATCAGAACCTCTCCCAATGCCAGATCTCACGCACACTGGTGGGTCCATGGGCCAGCCCTACTTAATCCACCTCCTGTCCCAAAGGATCAGTGGTGTTTCCTGACCAGCCCTCACTCATTCCGGTTCTTGTTGTTGGATGCTAAATCCCAGCCAAGCTGGTCCACACCCAGACACAGCTAGCACATGGCTCAGCAGGGGCAGAGACCTGGCCTAGCCCGTCCTATACCTACCCTGCTTCTCACAAGCACCAGTGGGTGCTGGAGTCTTAGCCCAGTCGGGCACATCCCAGACCCAGCCCATACCCATGCCAAGGGATCCTACAGCCATGTCCAGACCAGACCTCTGCTCCCACCCTGGCTCTCACATTCACCAAAGGGGATCACACCCCGACCAGGGCGTCTCCTTTATTCCCCAGCCAGGCCTGTTCTCATCCGCAAATCTTGTGTGTGCCAGTGGTTGACCCAGCCTGGCATAGCCCCTCATGTGTCTTAGCCTTTGCCTTTGAATGCTGCAGCCTGACCTAACCTAGCTTTTCCAGTCCCAAATCTCACTGGCAGGGGCTGTAACCTGGCCCTGCTCAGTCTGCTCCCATCCCAGCTCATGTGAACCAGTAGGTGTGACAGCCTAGCCCGGCATGACCTGCACTCCTGGCCTGGTTTCTGTACTCGCCATGGACTAAGGCCTTCTGTGCAGTGCTCAGCCCTGCCTAGTCAACCCCCTTCCAAAACCAATCTACACACTTGCCAACAGGTGGAGCTACTTTGTCCAGCTTGCCCAATCCCTAGATCTGGACCACATGCTCACCAGTGAGAGCTCTGGCCCTGTAGGGGAGTTCCCAGGTTCCCCATTCAGCCCACTCCCAGACCCAGATCTCACATGTGGCAGCAGGTGCTAGGCCTTCCATCTTGACCTTTGTATGAGCTGGAGGATGTTGCAGACCGGCCCACCCCACACCCTGTTTTAGGATGCACATGCAAGTGCTGCAGCTTGGTCCTGCCCAGCCCATTCTCGGCCCCAGTACCTATGAGTGTTGGCAGGTTCCATGTTCACACCTGGTTCAGCCCATTTCCACCCAACTCTTTTTATTATTATTATTATTATTATTATTATTATTATTATTATTATTATTTCTATTGGAAAGGCAGATATACAGAGAGGGGGAGAGACAGAGATCTTCCATCCAATGATTCACCCCACAAACTGCCACAGCTGCTGGAGCTGAGCCAATCTGAAGCCAGGAGCCTCTTCCAGGTCTCCCATGTGGGTGCAGGGTCCTAACATTTTTGGCCATCCTCGACTGCTTTCCCAGGCCACAGACATGGAACTGGATGGGAAGCGGGGCTGCCAGGATTAGAACCGGTGCCCATATGGGATCCCAGTGCCTGCAAGGCTATGACTTTAGCCACTAGGATATTGTGCTGGGACCACCCCCCAACACTTGAGCTAACCAGCGGGAATTGTATTTCCACAGGGTTGGGCCCACTTATGCCCCACGGAATCTACCTCAGGACCTGGTTCTTGTGCATACTGGTTAGTGTCATGGCCCTGTCTGATGTGACCTGTCCTCTGTTCCAACACTCAGTCAGGTACTGGGATCTAGCCCTGCTAGACAGGCCCCCAGCCATGGCTTTTCATGTGGTATGGCGTGTGGTGGTCAGTGATGCTCTGCGCTAACAAGCCCATCTCAGGACTCCCACGTGGGCTGGTGGAACAGACTGACCCATACAGATCTCCCAGTCTCTCCCATCCAAACCACCAGGTCTCAGTCCCCTCACTTACATGCCGGTGCAGTGATGGTGTTGTTGGGTGTCCCTCAGGATTCATTCCTCACCTACACGTACGGTCACCTTATCCATGGATGTCTCAAGTTCCCAGAGCTTGTCAGCAGGTGGCCAGCGGGTGGAATCCGGCACCAGTTTGACATTCTGGCTGCCCAAACCAAGATGGTTCCAGCCGCTCTGAAGCAGCCAGACTAGGCTATGCCCCCCACCTGACCAGGCAGAAATGGCTGATGGGGTGAGGGGTTCCCTTTGTGTGCCCAGCCCTCCAAGCCCTCCTGGCACAAGTCAAGATGCCCCCAGCTGCTCCAAAGCAGCCAGGCTAGGTCACACTCCCCAGCCCCCAACGACCAGCCAGAAGAGGCTGATGGGGGGAGGATTCACATTTGCACGCCCAACCCTCAGATGTGGCATCTTTGCTAGAGTAATATGATAAGGTCTCAGGGCATGGCGCGTAGCCAAGGATCCTGCACACACCCCACACACTTTTCCCTTTTCCAGGCTAAGCAGCCCAGCAGAAAGTGTGCGGTGAATGTCTGGAAGGAGCAACACATCCACCCACACATTTTCCCCAGGGCTCTCGAGCCTCAGGAAACATGTAGGCCGGCAAGATGAGTAGCTTGTCCCAGGAGTGCAAGGCTCCCTGCCACCCCTGCCCCCGCAGTGCTCTGTTTTCAGTCCACGCCAACAGCCCAGGGCGAGAACCTCCAGGGAGTAACTGAAGAATGAAGTGAAGCCTGCCCAAGCCAACCAGGTGTGGCACAGCCCGGCCCGGGCAGCGGCCCGGTCATCCGAGCCGTGAGAAGT